TTCCATCACAGTTTTTAAAGTGGTGGAGGGGGAAGCCAGGGGAAGGCCTCGGTCAGATGACGGAAAGTTCCAGTTGTGGGTTACCCATATAACTATGAGTCGTATCCGGAAACACTTGTCCTGTTTCCTGGCCAACCTTATCTAACATACCCGGACTTGTCCTGTTTCCTGGCTAACCTTATCTAACCTACCCTGACCTGTCCTGTTTCCTGGCCAACCTTATCTTACCTACCCTGACCTGTCCTGTTTCCTGGCCAACCTTATCTAACCTACCCTGACCTGTCCTGTTTCCTGGCCAACCTTATCTAACCTACCCTGACCTGTCCTGTTTCCTGGCCAACCTTATCTAACCTACCCTGACCTGTCCTGTTTCCTGGCCAACCTTATCTTACCTACCCTGACCTGTCCTGTTTCCTGGCCAACCTTATCTAACCTACCCTGACCTGTCCTGTTTCCTGGCCAACCTTATCTAACCTACCCTGACTTGTCCTGTTTCCTGGCCAACCTTATCTAACCTACCTTGACCTGTCCTGTTTCCTGGCCAACCTTATCTAACCTACCCTGACCTGTCCTGTTTCCTGGCCAACCTTATCTAACCTACCCTGACCTGTCCTGTTTCCTGGCCAACCTTATCTAACCTACCCTGACCTGTCCTGTTTCCTGGCCAACCTTACCTAACCTATCCTGACCTGTCCTGTTTCCTGGCCAACCTTATCTTACCTACCCTGACCTGTCCTGTTTCCTGGCCAACCTTATCTAACCTACCCTGACCTGTCCTGTTTCCTGGCCAACCTTACCTAACCTACCTTGACCATTCCTGCCTCCTGACCAACCTAACCTAACCTACCCTGACCTGCCCAGTCTCCTGACCAACCTTACCTAACCTACCCTGACCTGTCCTGCCTCCTAACCATCCTTACCTAACCTACCCTGACCTGTCCTGCCTCCTGACCATCCTTACCTAATCTACCCTGACCTGTCGTGCCTCCTAACCATTCTTACCTAACCTACCCTGACCTGTCCTGCCTCCTGACCATCCTTACCTAACCTACCCTGACCTGTCCTGTCTCCTGACCAACCTTACCTAACCTACCCTGACCTGTCCTGCCACCTGAGTATCCTTACCTAACCTACCCTGACCTGTCCTGCCTCCTAACCAACCTTACCTAACCTACCCTGACCTGTCCTGTCTCCTGACCAACCTAACCTAACCTACCCTGACCTGTCCTGTCTCCTAACCATCCTTACCTAACCTACCCTGACCTGTCCTGCCTCCTAACCAACCTTACCTAACCTACCCTGACCTATCCTGCCTCCTAACCAACCTTACCTAACCTACCTTGACCTGTCCTGCCTCCTAACCAACCTTATCTAATCAACGCTGACCTGTCCTGCCTCCTAATCAACCTTACCTAACCTACCCTGACCTGTCCTGCCTCCTAATCAACCTAACCTAACCTACCCTGACCTGTCCTGCCTCTTAACCATCCTTACCTAACCTACCCTGACCTGTCCTGCCTCTTAACCATCCTTACCTAACCTACCCTGACCTGTCCCGTCTCCTGACCAACCTTACCTAACCTACCCTGACCTGTCCTGCCTCCTGACCATCCTTACCTAACCTACCCTGACCTGTCCTGCCTCCTAACCATCCTTACCTAACCTACTCTGACCTGTCCTGCCTCCTGACCAACCTTACCTAACCTACCCTGACCTGTCCTGCCTCCTAACCATCCTTACCTAGCCTACCCTGACCTGTCCTGCCTCCTGACCATCCTTACCTAACCTACCCTGACCTGTCCTGTCTCCTGACCAACCTTACCTAACCTACCCTGACCTGTCCTGCCTCCTAACCAACCTAACCTAACCTACCCTGACCTGTCCTGCCTCCTAACCAACCTAACCTAACCTACCCTGACCTGTCCTGTCTCCTAACCAACCTAACCTAACCTACCCTGACCTGTCTTGTCTCCTGACCAACCTTACCTAACCAACCCTGACCTGTCTTGTCTCCTAACCATCCTTACCTAACCTACCCTGACCTGTCCTGTCTCCTAACCAACCTAACCTAACCTACCCTGACCTGTCCTGTCTCCTAACCAACCTAACCTAACCTACCCTGACCTGTCCTGTCTCCTAACCAACCTAACCTAACCTACCCTGACCTGTCCTGTCTCCTAACCAACCTAACCTAACCTACCCTGTCCTGTCCTGCCTCCTAACCAACCTTACCTAACCTACCCTGACCTGTCCTGCCTCCTGACCATCCTTACCTAACCTACCCTGACCTGTCCTGCCTCCTAACCAACCTAACCTAACCTACCCTGACCTGTCCTGTCTCCTAACCATCCTTACCTAACCTACCCTGACCTGTCCTGCCTCCTAACCAACCTAACCTAACCTACCCTGACCTGTCCTGCCTCCTAACCAACCTAACCTAACCTACCCTGACCTGTCCTGTCTCCTGACCAAATTCCTTCCCCAAATCTTTGTAAATCTAGCCAAGAACATTTGTGCCTAATAGGCCTACTAAATTTAACAAACCCTTAAAACTGTTTTAAGAATTGATTCTAATTCTAAATCAAAATATTTTGACATAGAAAAATCTTATATATATCTAAAATTTTAGATAACGTTACATAGAGAAATACAATGGACACTGCATCGACACCATGCCCAGCCCTTCTAGGGTAGGGTAGGTGCCTGAGATCGACACCGTGCCTAACCCTTCTAGGGTAGGGTAGGTGCCTGAGATCGACACCGTGCCTAACCCTTCTAGGGTAGGGTAGGTGCCTGAGATCGACACTATGCCTAACCCTTCTAGGGTAGGGTAGGTGCCTGAGATCGACACTATGCCTAACCCTTCTAGGGTAGGGTAGGTGCCTGAGATCGACACTATGCCTAACCCTTCTAGGGTAGGGTAGGTGCCTGAGATCGACACCATGCCTAACCCTTCTAGGGTAGGGTAGGTGCCTGAGATCGACACTATGCCTAACCCTTCTAGGGTAGGGTAGGTGCCTGAGATCGACACCATGCCTAACCCTTCTAGGGTAGGGTAGGTGCCTGAGATCGACACCATGCCTAACCCTTCTAGGGTAGGGTAGGTGCCTGAGATCGACACCTTGCCTAACCCTTCTAGGGTAGGGTAGGTGCCTGAGATCGACACTATGCCTAACCCTTCTAGGGTAGGGTAGGTGCCTGAGATCGACACCTTGCCTAACCCTTCTAGGGTAGGGTAGGTGCCTGAGATCGACACCTTGCCTAACCCTTCTAGGGTAGGGTAGGTGCCTGAGATCGACACTATGCCTAACCCTTCTAGGGTAGGGTAGGTGCCTGAGATCGACACCTTGCCTAACCCTTCTAGGGTAGGGTAGGTGCCTGAGATCGTCACCTTGCCTAACCCTTCTAGGGTAGGGTAGGTGCCTGAGATCGTCACCATGCCTAACCCTTCTAGGGTAGGGTAGGTGCCTGAGATCGACACCTTGCCTAACCCTTCTAGGGTAGGGTAGGTGCCTGAGATCGTCACCATGCCTAACCCTTCTAGGGTAGGGTAGGTGCCTGAGATCGTCACCATGCCTAACCCTTCTAGGGTAGGGTAGGTGCCTGAGATCGACACCATGGCTAACCCTTCTAGGGTAGGGTAGGAGCCTTTAGCTCATAAGACTGTCATTCCCATTAGCCCCCTTGGGGCGGGGATGGCAGACCAGAGAGGCCTAGCTTGTGGCTAGGCCTGGGGACAGTTGGTCCTGAGGCCTAGCTTGTGGCTAGGCCTGGGGACAGTTGGTCCCAAAGATGAGGAGGTACTTGTACCTCCTCCCATGGGAGACTTAAGTCTCAGACACTCCCTAAAGAGGGAGCCAAGGCCGGGCCACCACTTGGACAAGGCCCGGGCCGGGAGAATACCCGCTAATATTTAATTATAATAATAATTATGGGCACTGAGAAATAAATAGATAGATAGATCGATAGATAGCTTAGGTATCAAAATAGGTAAAATTGAGAGAAATAAAGGATTGTTGGAGAGATATATAGATAGATATATATGTATTTTATGGACTAGATAATATAGAAAGAGAAATAGATGGATCGATAGATAGATAGAGATATAGGAAAGATGGATACGTTGATAGATATATAACGAGATAGATATATAGATAGATGGATATATAAACAGATAGATAGAAAGATGGATACGTAGATAGATATATAACGAGATAGATATATAGACAGATGGATTTATAGGCAGATAGATAGAAAGATGGATACGTAGATAGATATATAACGAGATAGATAGATAGGTCAAGGTAATTATAGACAAAAAACTCAAATATTTTATTTGTCATCTCTTAATTTTTCCCATTATCCCCATTTTTTCCCATTATCCCCATTTTTTCCCATTATCCCCATTTTTTCCCATTATCCCCATTTTTTCCCATTATCCCCATTTTTTCCCATTATCCCCATTTTTTCCCATTATCCCCATTTTTTCCCATTATCCCCATTTTTTCCCATTATCCTCATTTTTCCCATTATCCCCATTTTTTCCCATTATCCCCATTTTTTCCCATTATCCCCATTTTTTCCCATTATCCCCATTTTTCCCATTATCCCCATTTTTTCCCATTATCCCATTTTTTCCCATTATCCCATTTTTCCCATTATCCCATTTTTCCCATTATCCCCATTTTTCCCATTATCCCCATTTTTCCCATTATCCCCATTTTTTCCCATTATCCCCATTTTTCCCATTATCCCTATTTTTCCCATTATCCCCATTTTTTCCCATTATCCCCATTTTTCCCATTATCCCCATTTTTCCCATTATCCCCATTTTTCCCATTATCCCATTTTTCCCATTTATCCCCATTTTTTCCCATTATCCCCATTTTTCCCATTATCCCCATTTTTCCCATTATCCCATTTTCCCATTATCCCCATTTTTCCCATTATCCCCATTTTTCCCATTATCCCCATTTTTCCATTATCCCCATTTTTTCCCATTATCCCCATTTTTTTCCCATTATCCCATTTTTCCCATTATCCCCATTTTTCCCATTATCCCCATTTTTCCCATTATCCCCATTTTTCCCATTATCCCCATTTTTCCCATTATCCCCATTTTTCCCATTATCCCCATTTTCCTCCCCATTATCCCCATTTTCCTCCCCATTATCACCATTCTTCCCCCCATCGTCATCTTCGTCATCTTCAAGTCCGCCGAAATCCTGCTGGAACATGACACCTTCACCTACACCTTCAGGAAAGTAGCCACCTTGAAAGTGACTCAGGTGAAAGTGACCATCACCATCATCATCTTCAGGAGAGGAGCCACCTTGAAAGTGACTCAGGTGAAAGTGACGGTCACCATCATCTTCAAAGCTATGATCCTCCAGGGACTGCAGACTGTCATGTTCACGGTCATCTTCATCCCTGGACCAGTCCTCATCACTCTCACCAAACGCCAGGTATCCTGGGGTATCCCTCCTAGCAACGTGCTGGGGATACCCAGCAACAATCCCAGCAATGCCCAGCAACACTAGTACCTGCCACGGATGCTTATAATAATAATTATAATAATATAGGCAGGTAAAAATGACATATTTACAAGTGAAAATGACATATTTATGGGTGAAAATGACATATTTATGGGTGAAAATGACATATTTACAAGTGAAAATGACATATTTATGGGCGAAAATGACATATTTATGGGTGAAAATGACATATTTATGGGTGAAAATTACATATTTATGGGTGAAAATTACATATTTACAAGTGAAGATGACATATTTATGGGTGAAAATGACACATTTACAAGTGAAAATGACATTTATGGGTGAAAATGGCATATTTATGGTGAAAATGACATATTTATGGGTGAAAATGACATATTTATGGGTGAAAATGACATATTTATGGGTGAAAATGACATATTTATGGGTGAAAATGACATATTTACAAGTGAAAATGACATATTTATGGGTGAAAATGACATTTATGCGTGAAAATGACATATTCATGAGTGAAAATGACATATTTATGCTGGAAAATGACACATGTGCTGGTGAAAGTGACGTATTTACAGATGAAAGTGACATTTCCACTTAAAAATGACTTATTTACAAGTGAAAGTGACATATATACAGATGAAAATGACATATTTGCAGGTGAAGGTGAATTGTTAATAAGTTAAAGTGACATTTACCAGGAAAAGTGATGCATTTACAGGTGAAAATGACTATATGCAGAAGAACATGATATGTACATAGGTGAAAGTGACATATAGACGTGAAAGTGACATATAGACGTGAAGCTGACATACACACAGGTGAAAGTGACATATACAGTGGTGAAAAAATGACACATACACTAGTGAAAATAACATGTTTACAGATGAAAGTGACATATACAAGTGAAAATGACACAAATGCAGGTGAAAGTGACATATATAGAGGTGAAAATAACACATACACTGGTGAAAGTGACATATCTTCCAGTGAAAGTGACACATTTACATGTGAAAGTGATACATTTACATGTGAAAGTGATACATTTACATGTGAAAGTGACATATTTACATGTGAAAGTGACACATTTACATGTGAAAGTGACACATTTACATGTGAAAGTGACATATTTACATGTGAAAGTGACACATTTACATGTGAAAGTGACATATTTACATGTGAAAGTGACATATTTACATGTGAAAGTGACACATTTACATGTGAAAGTGACACATTTACATGTGAAAGTGACATTTACATGTGAAAGTGACATATTTACATGTGAAAGTGACACATTTACATGTGAAAGTGACATTTACATGTGAAAGTGACATATTTACATGTGAAAGTGACACATTTACATGTGAAAGTGACATTTACATGTGAAAGTGACATATTTTACACGTGAAAGTGACCACATTTACATGTGAAAGTGACACATTTACATGTGAAAGTGACATATTTACATGTGAAAGTGACACATTTACATGTGAAAGTGACATTTACATGTGAAAGTGACATATTTACATGTGAAAGTGACATATTTACATGTGAAAGTGACACATTTACATGTGAAAGTTACATATTTACACGTGAAAGTGACACATTTACACGTGAAAGTGACACATTTACATGTGAAAGTGACACATTTACATGTGAAAGTGACACATTTACATGTGAAAGTGACATATTTACATGTGAAAGTGACATATTTACATGTGAAAGTGACATATTTACATGTGAAAGTGACACATTTACATGTGAAAGTGACACATTTACATGTGGAAAGTGACATATTTACATGTGGAAAGTGACATATTTACATGTGAAAGTGACATATTTACATGTGAAAGTGAATATTTACATGTGAAAGTGACATATTTACATGTGAAAGTGACACATTTACATGTGAAAGTGACACATTTACATGTGGAAAGTGACATATTTACATGTGAAAGTGACATATTTACATGTGAAATGTGACATATTTACATGTGAAAGTGACATATTTACATGTGAAAGTGACATATTTACATGTGAAAGTGACATATTTACATGTGAAAGTGACATATTTACATGTGAAAGTGACACGTTTTACATGTGAAAGTGACACATTTACATGTGTGAAAGTGACACATTTACATGTGGAAAGTGACACATTTACATGTGAAAGTGACACATTTACATGTGAAAGTGACACATTTACATGTGAAAGTGACACATTTACATGTGAAAGTGACACATTTACATGTGAAAGTGACACATATACAGATAAAAATGACATACACACGAGTGAAAGTGACATATTTACCAGAAATCTCATGACAGCGTCGCTGACGTAGAGAGAAGATGTATGAAGGTGCTGGGACAGCTGAGCTAGGACTGGGGGTCCTAGGCGTGCTGGGAGTCACTCTTATAGCTAGGACAAGAGTGACCTTGCTGGGAGCCCCGCTAGGCAGCCGATAGACGTCAGGAAGACTACTTTTTCCAGTATATCTATCGCTACCCTGGTATGATTATTGTATCTGGGTGGTAGACAGCAACCATCCAGGGAGGTACAACCATCCAGGGAGGTACAACCATCCAGGGAGGTGCTACCATCCTGGGAGGTACTACCATCCAGGGAGGTACTACCATCCAGGGAGGTGCTACCATCCAGGGAGGTGCTACCATCCAGGGAGGTACAACCATCCAGGGAGGTACTACCATCCAGGGAGGTGCTACCATCCAGGGAGGTACAACCATCCAGGGAGGTACAACCATCAAGGGAGGTACTACCATCCAGGGAGGTACTACCATCCAGGGAGGTACAACCATCCAGGGAGGTACAACCATCCAGGGAGGTACTACCATCCAGGGAGGTACTACCATCCTGGGAGGTACTACCATCCTGGGAGGTACTACCATCCTGGGAGGTACTACCATCCAGGGAGGTACTACCATCCAGGGAGGTACAACCATCCGGGGAGGTTCTACCATCCAGGGAGGTACTACCATCCTGGGAGGTACTACCATCCAGGGAGGTTCTACCATCCAGGGAGGTACTACCATCCTGGGAGGTACTACCATCCAGGGAGGTACTACCATCCTGGGAGGTACTACCATCCAGGGAGGTACTACCATCCAGGGAGGTACAACCATCCGGGGAGGTTCTACCCTCCAGGGAGGTACTACCATCCTGGGAGGTATACATCCAGGGAGGTTTTTACCATCCAGGGAGGTAATACCATCCCGGGAGGTATACCATCCAGGGGGGTATCCCACCTGGGAGGTGCTACCACCCAGGGGGTTTCAAACCCGGGGAGGTGTTTTCCATCCTGGGAGGTCTCCCCTCCAGGGAGGTGTTTTACCATCCGGGGAGGTAAACCATCCAGGGAGGTGCTACATCCAGGGAGGTGCACCATCCAGAAGGTAAACCATCAAGGGGGGTAAAACCCATCCAGGGAGGTAAACCACCCAGGGGGGGACTACCATCCAGGGAGGTGCTACCACTGGGGGGTACTACCATCCTGGGGTACTCCTCCTGGGAGGTCCTATCATACAGGGAGGTACTCCATCCTGAGGGTCTATCTTCCAAGGAGGACTACCATCGGGGAGGTACAACCATCAGGGAGGTACAACACCCAGGGAGGTAAACCAAAACCCAGGGAGGTACAACCTCCTGGAGGTACTACCATCCTGGGAGGTACAACCTTCCGGGGGAGGTACAACACCAGGGAGGCACAACCATCCAGGGAGGTACAACCCCCGGGGAGGTAAACCTAAGGGAGGTAAAAAACCATCAGGGAGGTTATCCATCTGGGGGGTACAACCCCCAGGGAGGTAAACCATCAGGGAGGTAAACCCACCCGGGAGGTAAAAAATATCCCAGGGTAGAAACCACCCAGGGAGGTGCAATCATCCAGGGAGGTACTACTATCCAGGGAGGTAAAAACCTCCAGGGGGTGTACCATCCAGGGGGGTAAACCATCAAGGGGGGTACAACCATCAGGGAGGTACACCACCCGGGAGGTAAACCATCCCAGGGGGGGTTTTCCCCCCCGGGAGGTACAACCACCCAGGGAGGAAAAAACCACCCGGGGGAGGTCTACCCCCGGGAGGTGCTACCATCCTGGGAGGTATACCATCAGGGAGGTGCTACCATCCTGGGAGGTACTCCCATCCTGGGGGGGGTACATCTACATGGAGGTATCCATCCTGAGGGAAATTCATCCAAGGGGTATCCCTCCAGGGAGGGTGTTACCATCCTGGGAGGTAAACCCATCTGGGGAGGTAAAAAACCACCAGGGAGGTAAAAACCATCCGGGAGGTAAAAAATTTCCAGAGAGGTACAACCATCCAGGGAGGTGCAACATCCGGGAGGTCTCCATCCTGGGGGTACTACCCCCGGGAGGTCAACCACCCAAGGGAGGTCACCATCCAAGGAGGTACTACCATCCGGGAGGCATACCATCCAGGGAGGACTACCATCCAGGGAGGTATACCATTTGGGAGGTTCATCCGGGGATTTATACCATCCCGGGGAGGTAAAACCCACCTAAAGGTACTACATCCGGGAGGTAAAACCCATCCGGGGGGTACAACATCCATGGAGGTACTCCCAACCAGGGAGGTACTACCATCCAGGGAGGTACTCCCCCAGGGGGTACTACCCCCAGGGAGGTACAACCATCAGGGAGGTACTCCATCCGGGGGTAAACCATCCAGGGGGGTACAACCATCCAGCGAGGTACAACCCATCCAGGAGGTAACCATCCAGGGAGGTACTATTTCCCTGGAGTATCCACCAGGGAGGTAAAATTTCCACGGAGGTACTACCCCCAGGGAGGTACAACCCCATCCAGGAGGTACTCCCATCCAGGGAGGTACAACCACCCAGGGAGGACTCCCACCCAGGGAGGTACTACCATCCAGGGAGATACCACCCAGGGGGGTACAACCATCCAGGAAGGACCCCATCCAGGGAGGTGAAACCCATCCGGGGAGGTATCCCATCCAGGGGGGTACTCCCGCAGGGAGGTACTACCATCCGGGGAGGTCTCCATCGAGGGAGGTCTACCATCCAGGGAGGTTCCCACCCGGGGGGTACAACCACCCAGGGAGGTCTCCCATCAGTGGGTACAACCATCCATGAGGTATACCCCAGGGGGGTACTACCCCGGGGAGGTATCCATCCGGGGGAGGTACAACCATCCAGGGAGGTAAAACCACCAGGGAGGGCAACCATCCGGGGAGGTACTACCATCCAGGGAGGTACTACGTCCGGGAGGATACCATCCGGGGGTATCCTCGAGGGAGGTACTACCATCCGGGGGTATACCACCCAGGGAGGTCAACCACCCAGGGAGGTACTCCATCCGGGGGTAAAACCCATCAGTGGGTACAAACCACCCGGGGAGAAATCCACCCAAGGGGGTAAAAACCTCAGGTAGGTATACCATCTGGGGAGGTAAACCACCCGGGGTGGTCCTACCATCCGGGAGGTATACCACCCAGGGAGGTGCTACCATCCGGGGGTACAACATCCAGGGAGGTATACCCCCGGGAGGGGTACTACCATCCAGGGGGTTCTACACCCCAGGGAGGTACTCCCATCGGGGAAAGGTACTACCATCCAGGTGGTACTCCCATCCGGGAGGTACAACACCCAGGGGGTACTACCTCCAGGGAGGTACTACCATCGGTGGTCTACCATCCAGGGAGGTACAACCATCCAGGGAGGTACTCCATCCAGGGAGGTAAAACCCATCCAGGGAGGTATCCCATCCAGGGGGTCTACCATCCAGGGAGGTATTTACCATCCAGGGAGTACAACCCCATCCAGGGGGGTAACCCCGGGGGTAAAAACCACCAGGGAGGTAAAACCACCCCCTTGAAACAAGAGTTAAACATTTTGCACTTGGGGGGTCCTCCCACCCCAAAGTCGACCCCCCTTCCCCCAACATCTTGGTCAAGAGCCTCCCCATACGGGTTTTTACCGCTATGTCGGGGCGGCGTAAAGGGGGTCACCCTTTGACATTCCCCAAAACCGTGTATAAAATCTTGACTGATCCGCGAAGTTGGATGATATTTAAAAATAATAAAAATTAATAATAATAATAATAATTTTAAAAATATAATAATAAAAAAAAAAATTTTAAAAATAATAATAATAATAATAATAATAATAATAAAATAATAATAATATAATTATAATAATAATAAAATAATAATAATAAAAAATAATAATATAATAATAATAATAAAAAATTATAAAAATAAAAAATAATAATAAATAATAATAATAAAAATAATAATAATAATTATAATAAAAAATAATAAAATTAATAAATTTAAAAATTAATTATAATAATAAAATAATAATAATTATAATAAAATAATAATAAAATAATATAATAATAATAATAATAATAATAATTATAATAATAATTAAAATTATAATAATAATAATAAAATAAAAATAATAATAATAATAAATAAAAATAATAATAAAAAATAATAATAATAATAATAATAATAATATTAATTATAATAATAATAATAATAATAATAATAATAATAATAAAAAATAATAAAAATAATAATAATAATAAAAATAATAATAATAAAAAATAATAATAAAAATAATAATAATGATAATAAACATGAAAAAATAGCAACTTTAGGAAAAGCAACAAAAGAAACGGTAACAACAGTAACAACGGAAAAAGAAACAGCAGTAAAAGGAACAGCAAAAACATCAAAAACAGGAACAAAAAGAACAGGAGCAGCAACAACAGGAAAAATAACAACATCAATAACAGGGGAAAAACAGCAACAGGAGCAGCAACAAAAGGAACAGTAAAAACATCAAAACAGGAAAAAGCGCAACAGGAAGCAAGCAACAACAGGAACAGTAACAACAGAAACAACAACAAAGCAACAACGGACAGAAAACAAGATGAACAGTAATAAACAGGAACAGCAACAAACAGGCAGCAGCAACAACAGGAACAGCAGCAACAGGAGCAGCAACAACAGGAACAGTAACAACAGAAACAACAACAATAGCAGCAACAGGAGCAGCAACAACAGGAACAGTAACAACAGAAACAAGAAGAATAGCAACAACAGGAACAGCAACAACAGGAGCAGCAACAACAGGAACAGCAGCAACAGGAGCAGCAACAACAGGAACAGTAACAACAGAAACAAGAAGAATAGCAACAACAGGAACAGCAACAACAGGAACAGCAGCAACAGGAGCAGCAACAACAGGAACAGCAACAACAGGAGCAACAATAACACTCTCGTTTTGAGGCAGATGACTTAAGGTAATTTGCAACATTGCTCTGGTGAGCACTTTCACACAACACACACAACACACACACACACAACACCACACCACACACATCACACACACACACACACACACACCCAGACACACACACACACACACACACACACACACACACACACACACACACACACACACACACACACACACACACACACACACAATCTACGTCAGGCCCATACTGGAGTATGCAGCACCAGTTTGGAATCCACACCTAGTCAAGCACGTCAAGAAATTAGAGAAATGGCAAAGGTTTGCAACAAGACTAGTCCCAGAGCTACGGGGATTGTCCTACGAAGAAAGGTTGAGGGAAATCGGCCTGACGACACTGGAGGCCAGGAGGGTCAGGGGAGACATGATAACGACATATAAAATACTGTGCGGAATAGACGAGGTGGACAAAGACGGGATGTTCCAGAGATGGGACACAGACACAAGAGGTCACAATTGGAAGTTCAAGACTCAGATGAATCAAAGGGATGTTAGGAAGTATTTCTTCAGTCATAGAGTAGTCAGGCCGTGGAATAGCCTAGAAAGTGAAGTAGTGGAGGCAGGAACCATACATAGTTTTAAGGCGAGGTATGATAAAGCTCATGGGGCAGGGAGAGAGAGGACCTAGTAGCAATCAGCGAAGAGGCGGGGCCAGGAGCTGTGAATCGACCCCTGCAACCACAACTAGGTGAGTACACACACACACATACATGCCAGGGGGCAGGAGCTGTGAATCAACCCCTGCAACGACAACTAGGTGAGTACAGTTTGCAACCTGTGGAAGTCAGAATATCCTAGTGTAACTAATGTGGTATTATATTATGGCAACATTTCGCTCTCCAGGAGCTTTGTCAAGCAAAATGTTGCTACAATGATATGTCACATTAGTTGCACTTGTGTCGTTTTGCCCAACATATTGTCGGTAATTCTCTCAACATTAATAGAAGGATCAAGAGAACGATTGAACAAGAGTGGGTCGAAAAGGTTGCACGGGTTTTGCAAAGCAATGGAGAGAGATGTCTGCTGAGACCTAACCACAGAATGGGTGGGATTTGAACACATGGCGAGTCGTAAGGCTTCAGGCCAATGCGTGAAATGCTGGGCCAGCTGGCTACAATAAGATTCATCCAACAGGCCAGTGTCTTAAGCACCGGCCTAGAGTTTTACAACCCATTCTGTGGTTTCTTAGCAATTGTGTTATTATGATTTTTTGAGTTCAGAGAGATGCACTGCAGCTGCTGAGACAAAGATACAGAGCCTGGAGGAGGGACTGAAGGAGCTGAAGTGGGTTACAGAGCCGAGGAACAAAAGGGGCAAAGAGATGAGAACAGGAGCATCAGCTGCCAGTGAGAGGACTGAAGGAATGGAAGGAACTAAGAGATCCTTTGTGGAAGTGTTATCAGGCTACCAGGAGGTGCAGGAGATGATAAGGGAAATAGCAAAGATGATCAAATTAGATCCAGTGATACGGAAGGAAAGGAAATGGGAAGAGTAGACGGAGAGGTTACTAATTATTCATGGGAGTCACGAGGCTAAAGGGAAGACTCATGGTAAAAGATGACAGGCAGAGGAAACAGATTGAAAATATCATCGTAATAACAGTAGAAAAGGACAGAAACCAGCTGACTTTTTTTTTCAGAAATTTGGGGGTATTCAAAGACTAAAAAATCGCCCAGTCAAGTTGACATTCATGATAGAAATGGTACGAAACAGAATCATGCAGCAGAAACCACAATTAAGAGATTTGGAAAAATACCAGTGGATGTATCTCGACCATGACAGAACAAGAAAGGAACGAGAGTAACTGAGAGAGAGGGTAGAAAGATTCCATAGGCAGGAAGGAAAGTCAGGGCAGACATCAACAGACACGGAAGCTCAGGTTTGGGGGAACCACCAAACAACCACTCAAAGAGCCCTCTTAATACCTAGCCCCCCACTCAAACACAATAACCCATAACAAACCACATTCCACACCCACAGTCATCACTCCCTCCCCCAGGATAAACACCATCTTTGCAGCAGCCTCCCACCCTGCCTTCCATACTCCAAACCTGTACCAACTCCTACCACCCCTGCGGCCCATGGGCAAAGACCCAGTAACCTAGAAACCAGTATACAGTATGGAAAAAGGCTGAGGGTATGGCACACCAATGCAGATGGAATAACAAATAAGAGTGATGAGTAGCATGGAGGCATCCTTGGGCATCACAGAACTCATCTAAATAAAGCTCATGGGGATGATAACAGATGCAATCTTCCCATCAGGACATCAGCTTCTGAGGAAAGACAGATGGAACAGAGTGGAAAGAGGAGTTGCACTGCTCATCCAAAACCAGTAGAACTTTGAGATGAGAGGAATGGAGAGAGGGGGAACAAGATGACTACATCATGGGAACACTTCAGACCGGGGACTCCAAGATGGTGATAGCAGTGATAAACAACCCTCCACCAAACAACAGGAGACCAAGACGAGAGAACGATGAGAGCAACAGAGCGAAGGACCTACATGGGCAGGGCAAAGTTACTCATCATGGGAGGATTTTAACCACAAGGAAATTGACTAAGAAAACTTGGAGACAGAGCTCCACTAACCTCCACAGAGCTCCACTAACCTCCACAGAGCTCCACTAACCTCCACAGAGCTCCACTAACCTCCACAGAGCTCCACTAACCTCCACAGAACTCCACTAACCTCCACAGAGCTCCACTAACCTCCACAGAGCTCCACTAACCTCCACAGAGCTCCACTAACCTCCACAGAGCTCCACTAACCTCCACAGAGCTCCACTAACCTCCACAGAGCTCCACTAACCTCCACAGAGCTCCTCTGATCTCCACAGAGCTCCACTAACCCCACAGAGCTCCACTAACCTCCACAGAGCTCCACTAACCTCCACAGAGCTCCACTAACCTCCACAGAGCTCCACTAACCTCCACAGAGCTCCTCTGATCTCCACAGAGCTCCACTAACCTCCACAGAGCTCCACTAACCTCCACAGAGCTCCACTAACCTCCACAGAGCTCCACTAACCTCCACAGAGCTCCACTAACCTCCACAGAGCTCCACTAACCTCCACAGAGCTCCACTAACCTCCACAGAGCTCCACTAACCTCCACAGAGCTCCACTAACCTCCACAGAGCTCCACTGACCTCCACAGAGCTCCACTAACCTCCACAGAGCTCCACTAACCTCCACAGAGCTCCACTGACCTCCACAGAGCTCCACTGACCCCACAGAGCTCCACTAACCTCCACAGAGCTCCACTAACCTCCACAGAGCTCCACTGACCTCTACTATGAGTGAACGGTTAGATTGCTGAAGATTACAGAGCAATTGCAGTGAACCTTTTCACGGCTGTCACTGCAGGTCAGCTGTGATGGACCGTGGACCGTGGACCGTGGTCCGTGATGCGTGAACCAGGGGTATGGGGGGAGGTCTGAGACCAGTATATAAGGTCTGGGATGGTCTGTCTCTCTCAGACGCTCTAAGCTCTTGTCTCAGCTCACTGCTGTGCCTCTAACCTCTTGTCTCAGCTCACTGCTGTGCCTCTAACCTCTTGTCTCAGCTCACTGCTGTGCCTCTAACCTCTTGTCTCAGCTCGCGGCTGTGCCTCTAACCTCTTGTCTCAGCTCACTGCTGTGCCTCTAACCTCTTGTCTCAGCTCACTGCTGTGCCTCTAACCTCTTGTCTCAGCTCACTGCTGTGCCTCTAACCTCTTGTCTCAGCTAACTGCTGTGCCTCTAACCTCTTGTCTCAGCTCACTGCTGTGCCTCTAACCTCTTGTCTCAGCATCGCTCAGCTCTGAGATGAAGACTTCAGTGAGTCTAGTTTGATCCACTAAATAATAATAATAATAATAATAATAATAATAATAATAATAATAATAATAATAATAATAATACCATTATTATTACTATTATTATTATTATTATTATTATTATTATTATTATTATTATGAAAAAAACACTAAACCCACAGGGATCATGCAGTACTTGAGCAGTGGGAGGTAATGAGGTTTGTTCCAAGGAAGAGGAGGAGGAGGGCAAATAGCTCCATTTCCTTGGATCAAGAACATATATCCTGCATTGCTGGACGGAGTTCAAATTTTTTCCCCGGTCACTATTCCAACGGAAGGGCTCTTCATGCGAGGACTCGGAGCTGGCATCCTATTTCCTCGGATCAAACCTGATTACCTCCAATCCCCTCCCTTCCAGGGGGGGTAAGATCCCATGCGGATTTAGAGCTTTCCTAAATTATGCTAATGTGCGCTGTATAATTGTGTATAACCGTATTTTGTGTTATGTTTTAGCAGATTATTGTGGCCCAGGTGGCCCTGGTGGCTCACTTGGTGGCCCTGGTGGCCCTGGTGGTTCACTTGGTGGCCCTGGTGGCCGACTGGGTGGCACTGGTGGCCTACTAGGTGGCTCATTGGGTGACCCAATGGGTGGCTCTGGTGGACCTGGTGGCCGACTGGGTGGCCATGGTGGCCCACTGGGTGGCCCTGGTAGCCAGCCTGATGGCCCCAATAATTTTTTAGCCAAAATTCGCCAAAAATAATTCCTATCTCAAGTTATAACATGAGAGTCTATGGGAGAAAATAGTTCACTTAACGAGCTAAACCTCGGAACCTAACTAAGGCGCTATGCGAGGGGTAACTACGTTAATATGTTTTTAATTACTGTTTTGTGTTTTTTCGCCAGATTATTGTGGCCCAGGGAGCCCTGATGGCCCTGGTGGCCCTGGTGGCCCTTGTGGCCCTCACTGCAGCACGACCAGAGGGTGTTCTTGACTTCGAGGGGGACAGTCACCAACACTCACAGAAGGGGGAGCCGGGCAACAAGGTCGAAGGCTCGTATAGGTGCGTTGAGGTTATATTTGTCCTGCTCTTGTTACTGTTCTTGTTTTTGCTCGTGCTCCTATTATTCTTCTTCTTGTTCTTCTTCTCTCCTCTTCCTCCTCTTTCTTGTTCTTGGGCTCTAAGAGGCTGCAAGAATCTTCCATATCTGGCCTAAAGTTGAGGTCTTCCAAATGTAAACAAGGACTGAGATCTCTTCTTCTTCTCCTCCTCTTTTAATCTATTCTTCTCTTCTTCGTATATTTGTTCTCAAATTAGTTAATGGAACAAGAGTAGAAAGTGCACAGTATAAACCCAGTTCTGTGTGTTTACAGTTGGACGTCTCCCGAAGGTATCGAGTTTTACGTCAAGTACGTTGCTGACGAAGATGGGTACCGGGTGCTGGAGTCCAACGCCGTTCCCGTGAGTTCCTGGGGAGCCAAGGCCGATGGCACCCAGGGGTCCTTCCAGGACTACGAGACTGAAACATAGTCCAAGTACTGACCTTCTCAAAGACTCCAGGATGACTACGATGACAGGAATGTCGCTTCACGATGCTGTTTTGGACTCCTCCAAGACCTGGACAACTGATAACCTAGTTGATGACCTGGCGATGACCTGGCGATGACCTGGCTTTCTCGGGAGATGTTACCCTGATGAGGACTACTTTAGAATCCCCCAGGACCTCATCAAGTGATAACCTTGCTGATGACTTGTCTATCACTATCATAACAATGACGAGCTTTGCAACGCGTCTATTACCAGGAACTGTTGATAAGTGACGCCCTTGTGCAACAATGATTGCAGTGATAGTAGGTAGTTAGTGACCTCGTTCGTCTGTAAACACAATATATATCTGTGGTGGTGATATGTAAATCAATAATGATGCAATAGCGGCAAATATTGTTTTAATGTTTGTGTCCCAGAAACTATTGTTGTTTTAGGGAAGATTAAACCAGTGTTTGTCCAGGGTAATTCCCCTCTCTTGACGTCTCTCTCTCCCTTCCCCTCCAACTTGTGTTGCCAGGGCCTCCCTTCTCCCCCCTCATTCTCTCCCTCCCTCAACATCTGTTGTGTTAGGGCCATCCTCCTGCCCCCTAGCATAAACACATGCATTGCCTGAGTCTCAGCTCCTGGCCTCACCTCTCGACTGGGTTCACTCTCCTGGCTTTGTGAGCTCTGTCATAATTCTTAAAGCTATGTATGGATTCTGCCTCTAACAGTCTCCAGGACATTCAACTTCCTGATAACGCTGAGGCTGTGTCTGTATAGTCACCTAATTGCGGTTGCAGGGGTCGATTTATAGCTCCTGGCCCTGACTCATCACGGGTGGCTACTGGGTTCACACTTTACCTGCTTCAGGAGATTTATCATACACACATCAGGAGTGTGTGTGTGTGTGTGTGTGTGTGTGTGTGTGTGTGTGTGTGTGTGTGTGTGTGTGTGTGTGTGTGTGTGTGTGTGTGTGTGTGTGTGTGTGTGTGTGTGTGTGTGTGTGTGTGTGTACTCACCTAGTTGTACTCACCTAGTTGTACTCACCTAGTTGAGGTTGAGGAGTCGAGTCCGAGCTCCTGGCCCCGCCTCTTCACTGATCGCTACTAGGTCACTCTCCCTGAGCCGTGAGCTTTATCATACCTCTGCTTAAAGCTATGTATGGATCCTGCCTCCACTACATCACTTCCCAAACTATTCCACTTACTGACTACTCTGTGGCTGAAGAAATACTTCCTAACATCCCTGTGATTCATCTGTGTCTTCAACTTCCAACTGTGTCCCCTTGTTACTGTGTCCAATCTCTGGAACATCCTGTCTTTGTCCACCTTGTCAATTCCTCTCAGTATTTTGTATGTCGTTATCATGTCCCCCCTATCTCTCCTGTCCTCCAGTGTCGTCAGGTTGATTTCCCTTAACCTCTCCTCGTAGGAGAGTGTGTGTGTACATCACCACTGGTTATAGTTTGTACTGATAACGATTTTCACCTTCAAAGACCTGAAGTCAAATTAACAATTCAGTAAATCCTGAAGCCAAGTCTTAGGGGGATGGTTAATGGGGTTTGAGATCTATCTACTACACCAGGGTCATTAAGACTGGTTGGTTGGTTAATGGGGTTTAAAGTCTATCTACTACACCAGGGTCATTAAGACTGGTTGGTTGGTTAATGGGGTTTAAAGTCTATCTACTACACCAGGGTCATTAAGACTGGTTGGTTGGTTAATGGGGTTTAAAGTCTATCTACTACACCAGGGTCATTAAGGCTGCAGGTCACCTGGTCACCACCAGTCAAGAATACTTTAATACCTAAAATACTGATTAATGTAAACTACCAGTGTATATACACTGAGAATAACACCTCTCAGTGTATATACACTGAGATATACACATTCTCAGTGTATATACACTGAGGTATACACCTGTCAGTGTATATACACTGAGATATACACCTCTCAGTGTATATACACTGAGATATACACCTGTCAGTGTATATACACTGAGATATACACCTCAGTGTATATACACTGAGATATACACCTCTCAGTGTATATACACTGAGATATACACCTCTCAGTGTATATACACTGGGATATACACCTCTCAGTGTATATACACTGAGATATACACCTCTCAGTGTATATACACTGAGAATACACACTCTCAGTGTATATACACTGAGATATACACCTCTCAGTGTATTATACACTGAGAATATACACCTCTCAGTGTATATACACTGAGATATACACCTCTCAGTGTATTACACTGTAGATATACACCTCTCAGTGTATATACACTGAGATATACACCTCTCAGTGTATATACACTGAGATATACACCCTGTCAGTGTATATACACTGAGATATACACCTCTCAGTGTATATACACTGAGATATACACCTGTCAGTGTATATACACTGAGATATACACCTTCAGTGTATATACACTGAGATATACACCTCTCAGTGTATATACACTGAGATATACACCTCTCAGTGTATATACACTGAGATATACACCTCTCAGTGTATATACACTGAGATATACACCTCTCAGTGTATATACACTGAGATATACACCTCGTCAGTGTATATACACTGAGATATACACCTTCAGTGTATATACACTGAGATATACACTCTCAGTGTATATACAACTGAGATATACACCTGCTCAGTGTATATAATGAGATATACACCTCCAGTGTATATACAGGAGATATACACTGTCAGTGTATATACTGAGATATACACCTCTCAGTGTATATACTGAGATATACACCTCTCAGTGTTATACACTGAGATATACACTCTCAGTGTATATACACTGAGATATACACTTCAGTGTATATACACTGAGATATACACCTCTCAGTGTATATACACTGAGATATACACCTCTCAGTGTATATACACTGAGATATACACCTCTCAGTGTATCTCCGTATGAAAATAATAATAATAATAATAATAATAATAATAATATAATAATAATATAATATAATAATATAATAATAATAATAATAATAATAATAATAATATAATAATAATAATAATAATATAATAATAATAATATCCTCAGACATCATCGACGTAACAAGGTGACTGCTGACGTCTTGAAGAGAAGTCTTGTTCCTGGTGGACGAGGAGGAGGAGGAACAGGAGGAGGAGAGGAAGAGGAGAGGAGGAAGAAGAGGAGAAGGAGGAAGAGGAGAAGGAGGAAGAGGAGAAGGAGGAAGAGGAGAAGGAGGAAGAGGAGAAGGAGGAAGAGGAGAAGGAGGAAGAGGAGAAGGAGGAAGAGGAGAAGGAGGAAGAGGAGAAGGAGGGAAGAGGAGAAGAGGAAGAGGAGAAGGAGGAGAAGAGGAGTAAGGAGGAACAGGAGGAGGAAGAAGAGGAGGAGGAGAAGGAGGAGGAGGAGGAGGAGGAGGGAGGAAGAGGAGAAGGAGGAAGAGGAGAAGGAGGAAGGAAAGAGGAGAGGAGGGAAGAGGAGAAGGGAAGAGGAGAAGGAGGAAGAGGAGAAGGAGGAAGAGGAGAAGGAGGAAGAGGGAAGGAGGAAGAGGAGAAGGAGGAAGGGAAGAGGAAGAAGGAGAAGGAGGAAGAGGAAGAAGGAGGAAGAGGAGAAGGAGGAAGAGGAGACAGGAGGAAGAGGAGAAGGAGGAAGAGGAGAAGGAGGAAAGAGGAGGAAGGGAAGAGGGAAGAGGAAGAAGAGGAGGAAGAGGAAAGCGGAGGAAAAAGAAGAGGAAAGGAGAGGAGGAAGAGGAGGAGGAGGACGGGAGGAGGAGGAAGAGGAGATGGAGGAAGAGGGGAGGAGGAGAAGAGGAGAAGAGGAGGAGGAGAAGGAGAAGAGGGAAGGAGGAAAGAGGAGAAGGAGGAAGAGGAGAGGAGGGAAGAAGAGGAGAAGGAGGAAGAGGAGGAGGAAGGAGAGAGTAGAAGGAGGAAGAGGAAGGAGGGGAGGAGGGAGGAAGGTAGGAGATGGAAGGAGGAGAGAGAGAAGGAGGAAGGGAGAGGAGGAGTGGAAGAGAGAGAGGAGGAAGGAAGAGGAGAAGGAGGAAGGAAGGAGGAGAAGAGGAGGAGGAGGAAGAGGAGGAGGAGGAAGAGGAGAGGAGGAAGAGGGAGGAAGGAGGAAGAGGAGAAGGAGGAAAGAGGAGGAAGGAGGAAGAGGAGAGAGGAGGAAGAGGAGAGGAGGAAGAGGAGAGGAGGAAGAGGAGAGAGGGAAGAGGAGAAGGAGGTAAGAGGAGAAGGAGGAAGAGGAGAAGGGAAGAAGAGGAGAGAGGAGGCAGGAGGAGGAAGAGAGAGGAGGAGGAGGAAGAGGAGTAGGAGGAAGAGGAGGAGGAGGAAGAGGAGGGGAGGGAAGAGGAGAAAGGAGGAAGAAGAGGAGAAGGAGGAACGGAGGATGAGGAAGGAGGAGAAGAGGAGGAGGAGGAGAGAGGAGAAGGAGGAAGAGGAGAAGGAGGAAGAGGAGAAGGAGGAAGAGGAGAAGGAGGAAGAGGAGGAGAAGGAGGAAGAGGAGAAGGAGGAAGAGGAGAAGGAGGGAGAGGAGAAGAGGAAGAGGAGAAGGAGGAGAAGAGGAGAAGGAGGAAGGAGGAGGAAGAGAGGAGGAGGAGGAAGAGGAGGAGGAGGGAAGAGGAGGAGGAGGAAGAGGAGGAAGGAGGAAGAGGAGAAGGAGGAGAAGAGAGAGAGAAGGAGGGGAAGAGAGAGAAGGAGGAAAGAGGAGAAGGAAGGAGGAGGAGAAGGAGGAGAGGAGAAGGAGGAGAGGAGAAGGAGGAGGAGGAGAAGAGGAAAGGAGAGAGGGAAGAGGAGAAGGAGGAACAGGAGGAGGAAGAAGAGGAGGAGGAGGAAGAGGAGGAGGAGGAAGAGGAGGAGGAGGAAGGGAGGAAAGGGGAAGAGAGAAGGGGAAGAAGGGAAGGAGGAAAGGAGGGGAGAAAAGGAGGAGGGGAAAGGGAGGAGGAAAAGGGGGGGAAGGGGGGGAGGGAGGAGGAAAAGGAGGGGAAAAGGGGAAGAAGAGGGAAAGGAGGAAGGAGGAGGAAGAAGGGGGGGGAGGAAAAGGGGAGGAGGAAGAGGAGAAGGGGAACAGGAGGAGGAAGAAGGGAGGGGAGGAAAAGGAGGAGGAGAAAAGGGGAGGAAGAAGGAGGAGGACGGAGGGGGAAAAAGGAGGGGGAGGAAGAGGGGAAGGGGGAGGGAAAAGGAGGGAGGAGAAGGGGGGGGGAAGGGGGAGGAAGAGGAGGAGGGGGAAAAGGAGGAGGAGGAACAGGAGGAGGAAAAGAGGGGGAGGAGGGAAGAGGGGAGGAGGAAAGGAGGAGGAGGAGGGGGAAAAGGGGGGAGGAGGAGGGGGAAAAGGAGGGGGAGGAAGAGGAGAAAGGGGGAAGGAGGAGGGGGGGAAGAGGGAAAAGGGGGGAGGGGAAAGGAGGAAGAGGGGAAGGGGGGGGAAAAGGGGAGGGGGGAAGGGAGGAGGAGGAAGAGGAGGGGAGGAAGAGGGGGAGGGGAAAGGGAAAGGAGGAAAAAAAGGGAGAGGAGGAAGAGGAGGGAAAAGGGGGGGAAAGAGGAGAAGGAGGAAGAGGGAAGGAGGGGAAAGAGGGGAGGAGGAAAAGGGAGGAGGAAAAAGAGGAGGAGGGGAAGAGGAGGGGGAAGGAAAAAGGAGAAAGGGGGAAAAAGGGGGGGGGGGGGGGGCCCCCCCGGGGGGGGGGGGCCCCCCCCCCCCCCCCCCCCCCGGGGGGGGGGGGGGAAAAAAAAAAAAATTTTTGTTAAAAGGGGGGGGAAAAAAAATTGGTCTTGTTTTTTATTTTCCCCCCTTTTTTTAAAAAAATGGAAAAAGTTTCTCCCTGTTTTTAAAGGGGTAAAGGGGAGGTTTTTTAAGTAAAAAAAAGGGGGAAAAACCGTTTTTGGGCCCCCTTTTTTAAAAGGGAAAAACTAGGGGAAATTTTTGGGAGGTTTGGGGTTTATGTTTTTCCCCCGGGGGGGGAAAAAAGGGGGTTTTGGGGGGGTCGATTGTATTTGGGGAAGGGGGATTCTTTTTTTGGGGTTTTTGGGGGCTTGGGGTTTTGGTTTTGGGGTTGGTTTTTTTGGCCCCGGGGGGGGGGGTTTTTGGGGGGCCCCGGGGGGGGTGGGGGGGGGTTTGGGGGGGAGCCCTTAGGGCCTTGGTTGGGAAGGGGGGGGTTGGGGCCCGGGTGGACCCCGCGGGGACAAAACCCCCCCGGGGTATTGGGTTTTCCCCGGGGGGGTTTCCCTTCCCCGGGGAAAAGAGGGGCTTGGTGTTTTGGTGGGATGAGTTTTGGGTGGTTTTGGGGGGAAAGGGGAAATTTTTGTCTTTCTTTTTGGGGTTTGGTTTTTTTGTTTTAGGGGGCGGGGGTTTTTGGGGTTTTTTATTTTTTTTTAATTTTGGGACCAGAAATGTATGGAAGGGATGGGCCAATATTTGGAATTTAACCTACCCTCACCACCTAATTAACACACACTCCCCGTTCCCCGGGAACCCACCGGACCCCTTTTAAACCCTCCCCCAAAAACAACCAAGCAAAACAGACACAACAAACAGATCAATCTTTCAACCCCCACCACCAGGGGTCCCTACGCGACCCCAACGGTTATACCCTCTCCAAACACAAAAACCCCCGGAAAACCAGAAAAACGACAAGTAACAGCATATTAAAAATCGCCAAAATAAAAAAAAAATATTTGTAGGTTGTTTAAGGCGGCTTAAGGAGAAACGAGTCAGGTTACAGACAAGGTCACTGAGACTGTAGTATAAAGATACCCTGGCCTGCAGTAGCCCTGCCCAGTCGTCTGCTGAGCCTGCTGTAGCTGCTACTGCTGCTGCTGCTGCACCTGCTGCTGCACCTACTGCTGCATCTGCACCTACTGCTGCATCTGCACCTGCTGCTGCACCTACTTTAACACTCTCGTCATGAAATTCTTGGTAAACTTCTACTATTTAGATAAGTTCCTCGATGAACCCACAAGTTGGGCACCTGTGCAACACCTGGGTGACTTTATTGATGAATAAGACACATGTACAACACCTGGGTGACTTTATTGATGAATAAGACACATGTGCAACACCTGGGTGACTTTATTGATGAATGAGACACATGTGCAACACCTGGGTGACTTTATTGATGAATAAGACACATGTGCAACACCTGGGTGACTTTATTGATGAATAAGACACATGTACAACACCTGGGTGACTTTATTGATGAATAAGACACATGTACAACACCTGGGTGACTTTATTGATGAATGAGACACATGTGCAACACCTGGGTGACTTTATTGATGAATAAGACACATGTGCAACACCTGGGTGACTTTATGATGAATAGACACATGTGCAACACCTGGGTGACTTTATTGATGAATAAGACACATGTCAACACCTGGGTGACTTTATTGATGAATAAGACACATGTGCAAAAACCTGGGTGACTTTATTGATGAATAAGACACATGTCAACACCTAGGTGTCTTTATTGATGAATAAGACACATGTACAACACCTGGTGACCTTTTTTGATGAATAAGACACATGTGCAACACCTGGGTGACTTTTTTGATGAATAAGACACATGTACAACACCTGGGTGACTTTATTGATGAATAAGACACATGTACAACACCTGGGTGACTTTATTGATGAATAAACACATTACAACACCTGGGGGGACTTTATTGATGAATAAGACACATGTACAACACCTGGGTGGGCTTTATGATGAATAAGACACATGTGCAACACCTGGGTGACTTTTTTGATGAATAAGACACATGTACAACACCTGGGTGTCTTTATTGATGAATAAGACACATGTACAACACCTGGGTGTCTTTATTGATGAATAAACACATGTACAACACCTGGGTGTCTTATTGATGAATAAGACACATGTACAACACCTGGTTGTCTTTATTGATGAATAAGACACCTGTGGGAACACCTGGGTGACTTTATTTTATGAATAAGACACATGTACAACACCTGGGGGACTTTATTGATGAATAAGGTACACATGTTTCAACACCTGGGTGACTTTAATTTATGAAAAAGACACATGTACAACATCTGGGGGTCTTTATTGATGAATAAGACCAATGTACAACACCGGGTGACTTTTATGATGAATAAGACACATGTCAACACCTGGGTGACTTTATTGATGAATAAGACACATGTACAACACCTGGGGGTCTTTATTGATGAATAAGACACATGTACAACACCTGGGTGTTCTTTATTGATGAATAAGACACATGTACAACACCTGGTGTCTTTATTGATGAATAAGACACCTGTGCAACACCTGGGTGACTTTATTGATGAATAAGACACATGTACAACACCTGGGTGACTTTATTGAGAATAAGACACATGTGCAACACCTGGGTGATTTATTGATGAATAAGACACATGACAACACCTGGGTGTCTTTATTGATGAATAAGACACTGTACAACACCTGGGTGACTTTATTGATGAATAAGACACATGTACAACACCTGGGTGACTTTATTGATGAATAAGACACATGTACAACACCTGGGGACTTTAAATTATGAATAAGACACATGTACAACACCTGGGTGACTTTATTGATGAATAAGACACATGTACAACACCTGGGTGACTTTATTGATGAATAAGACATCATGTACAACACCTGGGTGACTTTATGAATGAATAAACACATGTAAAAACACCTGGGTGACCCTTTTTGATGAATAAGACACATGTACAAACACCTGGTGACTTTATTGATGAAATAAGACACATGTGCAACACCTGGGTGACTTTATTATGAATAAGACACAGTACCACACCTGGGTGACTTTAAATTTATGAATAAACACATGTACAACACCTGGGTGACTTTATTGATTGAATAAGACACATGTACAACACCTGGGTACTTTATTGATGAATAAGACACATGTGCAACACCTGGGTGACTTTATTGATAATAAGACACATGTACAAAAACCTGGTTTTTCTTTATTGATGAATAAGACACATGTACAACACCTGGGTGACTTTATTGATGAATAAGACACATGTACAACACCTGGGGGACTTTATTGATGAATAAGACACAAAGTACAACACCTGGTGTCTTTATTGATGAATAAGACACATGTACAACACCTGGGTGACTTTTTTGAAGATAAGACACATGTACAACACCTGGGTGCCCTTTATTGATGAATAAGACACATGTACAACACCTGGGTGTCTTTATTGATGAAAAGACACATGTACAACACCTGGTGACTTATTGATGAATAAGACACATGTACATCACCTGGTGACTTTAATTGATGAATAAGACACATGGTACAACACCTAGTTTAACTTTATTGATGAATAAGACACATGTACAACACCTGGGGGACTTTATTGATGATAAAGACACATGTACAATACCTGGGTGACTTTATTGATGAATAAGACACATGTACAACCCTGGGTGACTTATTGATGAATAAGACACATGTACAACACCTGGGTGTCTTTATTGAGAATAAGACACATGTACAACACCTGGGGGACTTTATTGATGAATAAGACACTTGTACAACACCTGGGTGACTTTTTTGATGAATAAGAACACATGTACAACACCTGGTGACTTTATTGATGAATAAGAAACATGTGCAAACACCTGGGTGATTTTATTGATGAATAAGACACATGTACAACACCTGGGTGTCTTTATGATGAATAAGACACATGTACAACACATGGGTGACTTTATTGATGAATAAGACACATGTACAACACCTGGGTGACTTTATTGATGAATAAACACATGTACAACACCTGGTGACTTTTTTGATGAATAAGACACATGTGCAACACCTGGTGACTTTATTGATGAATAAGACACATGTAAACCCCTGGGTGTCTTTATGATGAATAAGACACATGTACAACACCTGGGTGACTTTATTGATGAATAAGACACATGTACAACACCTGGTGACTTTATTGATGAATAAGACACATGTACAACCCCCTGGGTGACTTTATTGATGAATAAGAAAACATGTACAAACACCTGGGTGTCTTTATTGATGAATAAACACATGTACAACACCTGGGTGACTTTATTGATGAATAAGACACATGTACAACACCTGGGTGACTTATTGATGAAAAAAGACACATGTACAACACCTGTGTGACTTTATTGATGAATAAGACACATGTACAACACCTGGGGACTTTATTGATGAATAAGACACATGTACAACACCTGGGTGACTTTTGATGAATAAGACACATGTACAACACCTGGGTGTCTTTATATGAATAAGACACATGTACAACACCTGGGTGTCTTTATTTTATGAATAAGACACATGTACAACACCTGGGTGACTTTATTGATGAATAGACACATGTACAACACCTGGGTGACTTTATTGATGAATAAAGACACATGTACAAAACCTGTGTGACTTTTATTGGTGAATAAGACACATGTAAACACCCTGGTGACTTTATGATGAATAAGACACATGTACAACACCTGGGTGACTTTATTGATGAATAAGACACATGTACAACACCTGGGTGACTTTATTGATGAATAAGACACATGTACAACACCTGGGTGACTTTTTGATGAATAGACACATTACAACACCTGGGGTTGACTTTATTGATGAATAAGACACATGTACAACACCTGGGTGACTTTATTGATAAATAAGACACATGTACAACACCTGGGTGACTTTATTGATGAATAAGACACCTCTTCTCATGTATTCATACAAGTCTGTACCTTTGCAGGTGTTGTTGCAGGTGTTGTTGGTGGTGGTGCTGGCAGCAGTGACCTCTGCCAACCCCTGGCACAGGTTCAGAACCAGTGACGGGATCCGCAGCCTGTCCCGGCCCTCTCTTAGCTGGGGTCTGCCCCGGAGTCTATCGCCGTCTAACGCTGTCTACATAGACAGAAGTGATGAGAGCTTTGAGGACGACTCCCTAGAGAGCTTCGAGCTTAGACGACGCTATTTCTTGGGCTAGAAGAGCTGGGGTTGTTGGATGATGGAAGAAGGACTGTATCAACTCTCTGTGTCGTCATTCTTAGGATAGATGGAAGGTGAAGAACCAGTGGATAGATGTACAATCAGTCCTCTGTATCTACTATCCTGAAACCACAACTACGAGGATAGATAAAGAGTTGAAGAACTAAGGAAAAGGCGTCTATTCAACCTCTATTTCCCCCATTTTACCGACAGCACCCCAGGATAGACAGGAGAAATTGAAAACCTACCTGAAAACTCTACATCCTCAACTTCTCATCTATCCCAAGAGATCCTCCTATCAATCGGCTCTTCAACCCAGTGAAAGTCAACTGTGAGCTGGACAGAGAGAGTGGAGCATACTCCCACTTTCCCAATAGACAGGTCAACTGTCCCCTTCAACCATCATCAATCTGGACACAGACACAGTATACATACCAAGACTTAATTTTAGACAAAATCTTTCTAAGAATTGACCTATCAAGTCTTCCTCTTGTCTAAATGCCCTAATGTCTAAATACCCTATTGTCTAAATATTCTAGTGTTTAAATACTCTATTGTCTAAGTACCCTAGTGTGTAGATACCCTATTGTCTAAATACCCTATTGTCTAAGCCCCTATTATCTAAACACCTTTGTGTCTAAATACCATAGTGTCTAAATACCCTAGTGTCTAAACACCCTAATGTCTAAATATCCTAGTGTCTGAACACCCTATTGTCTAATATGTAAGTTTTCTGTCGGCTGTGTCTAAACCCTCAGCTTGTCAGCTTAAGTCCAGTAAGCTGACACAGAAATATACATCAGAATACACGACGATCATCCAAAAATTTGTTTTTTTTTAATAAATTCCACAATTTTTAGGCCTAAAGTCGAGAAAACATGCTCCAGTATAGGCCTATCTACACTTTGTACAGTGCCTGACGTACACGGTGTACAGTGTCTGACGTACACGGTGTACAGTGTCTGACTTACACGGTGTACAGTGTCTGACGTACATAGTGTACAAAGTCTTGAATGATTCCTTACTAAGGTATCGGAACGCTATTCTCAGGGTTGCCAGGCGCCCGTATGCTGCAGCAGTTATCTGGTTGATGTGTGCCTCAGGAGATGTGCTCGGTGTTATACTCACCCCAAGATCCTTTTCCTTGATGAGGTTTGTAGCCTCTGGCCACCCTAGACTGTACTCTGTCTGCGGGCTTCTTTGACCTTCCGCAATCTTCACGACTTTGCACTTGGTGGGGTTAAACTCCAGGAGCCAGTTGCTGGACCAGAGTTTCAGCCTGTCCAGATACCTTTGTAGTCCTGTCTCATCCTCTTCCACTTGAATTCTTCGCATTAGCTTCACATCATCTGCAAATAAGAACACCTCTGGATCTATCCCTTCTATCATGTCGTTCACATATACCAGAAACAGCACTGGTCCTAAGACTGACCCCTATGGAACCCCGCTGGTCACAGGCGCCCACTCTAAGACCTCGTCACGTACCATCAATCGATGTCTCCCTGTCGGATATTATCTAATCCATTGCAGTGCTTTTGATATTCCTGTTTGCTCCTCTAGCATGTGCACTAATCTCTTGTGTTGAACAGGAAGCATCCTTCCATACCTCAGGTAGTTGCCCTGTTCTGACAGATGTGTTGAAGATTGTTGTTTGTGGTACACACAGTGCCTCTGCTCTCTCTCTCTCTCTCTCTCTCAGGACCCATGGAGAGATATCCGGTCTCACTGTCTTTGAGGTATCTAGTGCATATAGCAGTCTCTTTATCTCCTTCTCGGTTGTGTGTAGTGTGTCCAGCACTTGATGGTGCACCCTACCATCCTGGATTGCTGGAAGCCTTTCTGTCTCCACTGAAAATACTTCCTTAAATCTCGTGTTGAGATCTTCACATATTTCTTGATTGCTTCTTGTGATCTCTCCTCATTCCTTCCTCAGCCTGATTACCTGGTCCTTGACTGCTATGTTCCTCCTGATGTGGGTGTACAGCAGCTTTGGGTCAGATATGACTTTTGATACTTTGTCATTCTCGTATTGCCGCTGGGCCTCCATCCTTATCCGTGCATTTTCATTTCTGACTCTTCGACTAATCTCCTTATTTCCTGAGTCCTTTGTCTTCTGTACCTTTTCCATGCTCTAACTCACCTATCTTTGCCCTCTCTGCACCTTCGGGTGAAACTGAGAGTATCGTTCTTGTCTTATTTCTGTTGCCCTTGGGTATAAGATAAGATAAGATTTCGTTCGGATTTTTAACCCCGGAGGGTTAGCCACCCAGGATAACCCAAGAAAGTCAGTGCTTCATCGAGGACTGTCTAACTTATTTCCATTGGGGTCCTTAATCTTGTCCCCCAGGATGCGACCCACACCAGTCGACTAACACCCAGGTACCTATTTGCTGCTAGGTGAACAGGACAACAGGTGTAAGGAAACGTGTCGAATGTTTCCACCCGCCGGGAATCGAACCCGGGCCCTCCGTGTGTGAAGCAGGAGCTTTAGCCACCAGGCCACCGGGCCACTTCTATGCATCCCTGAAATTTGTAGTTACTTGTTCCATCATGTCATTTATTGTCTTTCCTCCAGTTCTCTTCCCCATTGCACCACATGCAAGGATTGCCTCTTGTCTGTCTCCGTTGGTGCTCCATACCTTCAGCTTCTTTTCCAATGTTGTATTCTGGGAGGTTTGTGGGGGCAGGGAGAGTGGGAGACCTGGCAAGATACTATGGGAAACTGCTGCGTAGGTGGTGTTTGTGATGTGGAGTGGGGCTGTGGGTGCAGAGTGTGGGTTGTTTTGAGTTAATTTGTGGTTGCTGTGGGGGGAGGACAGGGTTGGAAGTGTTCTGTGGACAGTTCTGAGAGTGGTTGTGTTTGATGGTCTTCCTGAGTCTGGGTTCCCTTGCCCATCTCTCTTTCCTGCCCTTTGTGTCTTTGTCTCCTCCTTCTCAGTTCCTGTCATTCTTCTCATGTTCTGTTGCAATAGAGGTGCACCTACTGGTAATTTGGTGAGCCCCTTAGTCATTGTTTGTGCTGCAGGATCCTGTTTCGCACTATTTCTCACTTGAAAATCAATTTGAATATTTTTTTCCTTTTGGGGTTTTCCCCCTTACTCTCTGAAAATTTGACAGCTCAGTTATGTCCTCTCCTGTTTGTGTAATGATGTTCTCAATCTCTTTTTCCTATCCCTGTCAACTTACATTTTATTCCTTCTGCCTCCTAAAGCCCACAAACAAAGACTGACCTTTCCCTGTTATCCTAATGCATTTCTTTTCGTATTTCCGGGTCCGAGTTAAGTATCCCATGACTGCTATGGTAATATTTCCGGGTTTCCTCCTGAGGGCTGATCGCTGAGAATGTGTGTCTCAGTATACATAACGAGAGGGAGGAAATTTTTTTCGTCCCAGGAAACAGGAAAAAGTGTTTCCTGAAGGGGGATTAGATGAAGACCCGCTTTGGAGTTTTTGTCTTCTGCCCGACCCTTCCAGGCTTATCGGTTCACCCCTTTAAAAATTAGGGCCCAAGTTTTAACCTTTTAGGGGAATGTATATCTCATTATATAGGAGGGGTGAGTTTATAAAAGTGTAATACACTGAAGGTGTATATCTCAAAATTGAAAAAACCGTGGTAATAAATCCCGAAAGTTGGTTTAGAAAGAACGAAAGCAAACCAAAAAACATATTTATTAAAAAAAACGTTTCGGTCCTGGGCCCTTGATCACTTCTAACATACAGAGGTAGAAAGCTTAAAATTAGGCGGAGAGGAGATTTTGACGCCTGACTGAGGAAGTTTTAAAAACATAAAATGGGGGAAACACTGTAAAAGGGCCTACTGGCTCAGCGAGGCAGGTCCTTATCAAAAAAACCCTTTTGCCTATGATGGGGCCATAACGATAAAAATCATGTGATCCTGTGTTGTTGGGTTGGTGCGTTAAAGTATCATGTCCCAATTTTTAAAAATTTTGTAGTTTCCATTTTGGGCGTTCTATAGGGGCGGTGACGGCGATTAGTGAGGTTTGGCCCCGTCGGCGTCGAGGTTGGTTCTTGGAACGAGTTGTCCCCTATTCCAGTCACAAATGCCCCGGGGGAGTTCTTTAAGGAACAGGCGTACCTTCTGTCTCTGTAGAGGCATTTCGGGGCTCTTTTCGGCGGACTGGAGTCTCTCCCTTTCCGGGCCTAATTTTTTCTTGGGACAGAACCCACGGGGTGTGTAGACCCCCTGCTGTTGAATTTGGGGTGTGGGGCTGCGTTTCGAGTGAGGTTTTTGTAATAGGGTTTTTATGGTGGAAACGTTGATGTTACTCATAGCAAGTGCCCGGGAGTATTCGTCAACATCACCACATGGGAGTATAGAACGTTTGGGGGTTTTTTCCTGGGCGGTTTGTTTAGGATAGCTTGTGCCCTTTGTCTGCAATCTCGGGTGAAGAAAGATGGGAAAAGAAAACGTGTAAAAGGCTTTTTGTTATGAAGAGCTTCTTTTTCTAGGGAAAAAAAGGGGTGGGGATGCGAAGAGCTCTCAGAAAAAGTCAAAGAGGACTCCTCCTTATGCCGGGGGTCTTTTTGTGAAAAAAAAAGTGTATAAGACGTCCTTTTTGGTGGTTTTCTTACCTTTGAAGAGAATTTGTACTGTCGGGGGACCTGCACAGTAGAACGTCGAGGAAAGGAAGCTTGCCCTCATTTCAGTTCAAGTGTAAACTTTATTGTGGTTCAAAAGCTTGATCTTGTGAGAAAGGGCCCGGTATTTAGCGTCTCGGATGAAAACCAAATATCATCAAAGTACTTAGCCCGGTAACGGGGTTGGGGAAAGAGGGTGCTGAATTTCTCTGTTCCAGGTTTCCATGAAGAGGTTTGGCAAGCACAGCCCGGCGGGTGCCCTTTCCCGCCAAAGCTGTTTGTAAAAGTTGTTCCCGATACTTGAGAATTGAAATAAAAACAAATTCCACTAATTGAGAAGTCTAGAAAAAGGAAAGGGAGGGGTGGTTTTTCTGAGCCTCTGTCTCAGAAAGTTGATTTAGCGTCAGTAGGAACGTTGGTAAAAAGGGGCTGTGACCGAGGAAGCCATGCTTTTTTTTTTGACATTCAGGGTTGGGAAAATTTGGGGGAGAAAATCACCTGAGTGCTTGAGGGGGGCTTGACTGATGGTGCCCAGAAGCGCTGAAAGGTATTTGGCAAGGTGGCCGGCTAGTCTGTGTGGTGCACTCCCTATGCCCGAAGTGATAGGCCGTAGTGGGATGCCAGGTTTGTGTGTCTTAGGAAGGCCATACAGGCGTGCTGGTTTCGGTTGACCTGGCAAAAGTTTAAGTAGTTTCTTGCCTTGTTCTGATTTTCGAAAGATGCTACGAGCCTTTTGAAGGAAAGTCTGGGTACTTTGAAGTAGCACTGATTCCAATACAGGCTGGTATGTGTTGACATCCTTGAGAAGATTTAAGACCCGTCCTCATCATAGGCAGAGGTTGTTTTGATAAGGACCTGCCTCGCATGGGCCAGTAGGCCTTCTACAGTGTTCCTTCATTCTTATGTTCTTATGACATTCGTCAGGTCACGTGCGTCACACCTCACTCTCCGCCTATATATATAATGTCTTTCTACCTCTGTATGTTAGAGCGCAGTGTACCGCCATCCATCGGCTTCGTTTGGGCTTTCCCACAGCCAAGATGATGGTAGACAAGGCTGAGGAGATGTGCCAGTACTGTCAGCACGTTGTCCAGCGGCCCCTAACACACTATCTTCTGGAGTGCGAAGTTACTGAGACACTCCGCAGGCAACTAGGAGTGATATTCCCTCCCGAAGAGGAACCAGAGATGACTGCGGCCACACTAGTGTACCATGGAGTCAACGAAC